TTCTGGTTTGACTATGTGACCACTAGAACTAGGGCTGACTACTTGAGATGTGCTCGGGCTAGATGTATCCTTATGTATGACTGTCCCCTCCACTGCACCACAGCAGTTTTGCTGCTAGTTTTATGATACCATAGCCATGCTTAATGGGTGTTGTAAAGTCTTCCAGGTGTCTTCCACTGTGTACTTGATGCTGGTTAGTGCATAAGCAAGCAGTGCTAAGAGCCTCAGCTAGCCATTAGCACTGTGTGCTGCTGCTTGCATATTTTTCTTTTCAGAGAATGGTCATTCCCTGTCCTTTTAGCTGTACTGCATTTTTTTTCCTGTAAATAAGCAGCAAGAGAGTTATCTGTAAAACACATTCTGTCAGGCACATTCACAGGGGATGGTCTGAGGGGCTTTCTTGAACAGCCATGTTCTAGCTTTCCAGTTCCCCATTTCACCATGGTGAGGGGACCCAGGTAGCCTATGTCACCTCTGGAGTCGACTCTAGACAGGTCCAGCCAGGCTGTGAGTCTTGATGGCCATGGAGGCAGCAGGCTGCCAGACTGTCTTGTCACATTTTTGCCATGTTAAAAGCAGCCATGGTGCAACTTCTCGAGTTACTGCAATAATACAGATATTTTGCTGTTTTCTAATATGTGCTGTGGTACAGCAGTGCTTAAAGTAGCTAAGCAAAGAGTTAATGCCAAGTTAAAGCCTGGGTCTGATGAGGGTGGTGTGGAGGAATCTTTTCTGGAACCTAGAATCTTAGGGCCCTTCTTCAAAGATCGTTTCTTTCTAAAGCATTCCTTGACTGTTGCCTTTGTTATCCAGGGCTGAAGCCTGTGTGATTTCACTGATATTTCATAATGACCTGACTCACAGTGCTAGGAATTGGGCTTCTGCAGCTTGGGTACAGTAAAAGCTGCACAATAGTGTCTTTTCATTAATGAAAGAAGAAATCTCTTGTGCTTATAACTGTTGTGTCTGGTTTTGGAATACCTCCAACATATCTGTATGCCTTAGCTAGGGTGGGAAATCATTTGTGCCTTGTACTATATTTTTAGAATTGCCTTGATAAGATTCTTTTCTTGATATACTGTAAGTGAAATAAAAAGAAAAGTTTGCAGCCTGCTCAATTCTCTTTAAAGTCATTGGCTGCATCTCTTGTATGTGAAATCTCTGTTCTTTGCTTTTAAATTTCCTGGTGGGAATTTACTGTCACAGGGCATCATGCCAATTACGCTGCTTTCAGGGCTGGAGTTCTAGCAAATCAATGGAGCCTAACACCACTCACTCACAGCCGTTGCCACCAAATATATCAGTATTCTTCTGTTTCAGCATTCATACTCAAAGAAAAATGTTAGTATTAGGACATGCTGGGGCTGGATGCTTCAGGAATTTTAAAGACAGGGTTGGTAGCAAGCAGAATCACAGCAGTGCCTTATGTCCACTTTATTTGTCATTGCCTAGTTTGGCACTGCTCTCAGCAGAACAGGCTGCTATGCTGTTGTGCTGGAGGGATTTGCCAGGTTGGTGGGGTGCCGGAGAGAGGACAGGGAGGATGTGGTTTGTGCTTGCTTCTGAAATCTTGCCATCATCTGAGCTCTAAAGATCTAGCGGCCAGGGAGGCTTTTTGATGGGTGGTGTTGTCTTTCCCCCACTATTTCCTTCCATGTCTGAGCTGCTGTAAGCATACGTTCTGATTTCTGTGGAATAGCTAGCAATGGTTTGTTGTGCTGCAAATCCAGCTTTGGTTGAGCTACCTTTGTGATTAATGTGTCTTGGCTACAGGTGGATAGCTCAGTTCCTCAGTTTCCTACATGAAGATATTCTTTTTATCTGGAAGTTGATGATGTTATTTTAAGGGGTGTGTGTGTAGAGTGGGGTGCGTGGAGTTACAGTGTGGGAGGTTATGTTTAAAACTGAATAATCTATTGTCACATCTGGACCCTAGTTTTATGAGAAGCTCATACCTATTGTTAGCAAATATGAACCAAATGCCTGCCTTAATACGTCAGTCCTATTGAGTGCCTACTTTTCTGCTTACTGGAGTAATTAGTTCTAATGGGAAGGTAAAATCTCATCAAGGTTTTTCAGCAATAACCATGGCAAAGGATTGTTGAACAAGAATCAAGACAATGGTAGTTCTACAAGGCCTGTCAGCTGCTATCAGACTGGAATGGTTTTCTGTTATTTAGGTCTTCTAAGGCAGTTTATATAAATGAGGCTTGCACATTGTCTGTGTACATAAGTTATTGTATGGAAGCTGAAAGTAATGTGAAGATATGGTCCATGTTTGCTTATTACTGGGATGGGGAATGTAAAGAAGCAATATAGAAGGTGACAGCTGTATTGTGAGGTAGAGAGACCTCTGAATGGTTTCTGGCATGTGATTACATAGTTACAAAGCAAAAGCACTTTTTCCCCAGAATGCTCTGGATCCTTCAAGTAGGAGCAAACAATTTCCTCTTTACCCTTTCTTGACTGCTACCGTTGGCAATAAAATCTTTATCATGAATAGCAGCTTTGGAAATGTTTGGCTTTGGAATGAGGCCCCGAATAATCAGCGATTGGTAGCAAGGATAGCCGGAATGTTTTGCAGAGAAAAGGCATTCAGCGTTTTTTTTTTAGCCTAACTATCACTTTTCAGAGTGTTTTCATCATTTTTTCTTCTGGAAAATCAAAGCATCAGCATAAGCAAGCTTGTATAATAGGGCTATTCAGACAGAGAATGCTATGCAAGTGGGGGTTTATGGAGTACTAAAGTCTCCTCTATACTGTGCCTTGGTTTTTGCTTTCTGCTGCAGAGTGGGGAAGGTTCATGTCCTGGATGGCTCTGCAGGATGGCTGCAGCTAGCTGACCACCTGTGATGAGACTGTAGGGAGCCCAGACTTGTGCTGTGCAGGGATTGCTGTCTGCCTGGCTGCAGCCCTGCCTCCTGATAGCTGCTCTTGTCATGTCTTCACATGTAATGTGGGAAGGTGCTTGGCCCAGGCCACTCTCTTGCTACTGCAGCTTCTCTTTTGCATGTCCAGGAAATACAGTTACTCTCTCTTCACTCACACACATGCTTATCCAAAGAGCTCTGACCTAAAGCTGTGAAGAAACTGAGTATGTAAAAAATGTGATTATTGCTGACAGTTCAGATAGATTAGGGGGAGTCCTGATAAGAAACGTCTGCTCTAGTGTGGCTTGGTTAGAAAATGAAGCAGAGGGTGAACTGTGTAGTGTTTTTATTGCTTGGATCATAGCTCCTAGCTGTTACCAGATGTCATTGCACCTAAATAGGTGAGGAATTTGCCTCTACACAATCATAATGTATTACTATATAAGTGATCGGTCAAACAGCTTGGTCAAATATTAGGGATTTTATCCAGCAAATACAGCAGATATTTATATAAGGCCTTGCTGGGGTCTTACTGCCTAAGCCAAAATCAAAATCAAGCACACAGCAGAAAGGGAAGCATGTCCTTACTTTATTTTTAATGTGTTAGAATGAAAGAATTCCTCACCCCTCCTTTTTAAAAAAAAAATAATAAAATCATGTCTCCTCTGTGAGAAATCATCCTCTTATTTCAGCTGTAATTTGCTTTGTAGAAAGGTGACAGTTTGACCTGTTTGCACACAGGTGGCAAGCTCATTTGTTGTGTCCTTCTTGCATGGTTAGAGTGAAGGACTCTACAAATGCCATTTCTGATCAAAGGTAGGCTGCTGTACATTTTAATTGCATGCTAGCCTAACTATTACTGTGAGTATCATTACTCAAGATTGAAGGCTGAAGATGACCATGCCGTGCAATCCCCAGAGGGGCAAGGACAGGTTATGAAAAAAACCAGCTTCTCACTGCTAATAATCTTGGACTGATTCTTTTGGCTTTAGGTTCCAATGTGTTCACAGCATGTGTTTTCATGGCAAACAATCTTTAGTCCACTAGTCCAGTCTGCTCATCCTGCTCACTTTGATATGTCTGACCAAATATTCCTCCAGAAAAATGATGCAGATTACTTCCAGCAAGGAAGATGTTACA